GCATAGTCCTGCCAAAGTCATTAGTCTACCACATAGCAGATTAGCCTCGGCAGGTTATGATTAGTTTAGAGTCTAAGAACTCATTAAATTTATGCCATGAAAGAAAAAAACAAGTCATTTAATTCAACACAACAATTTGGAAATTGTAATATCTCTATATGATTAGTTTTCAAACCAGTACAACCAATTTTTTTAATGTGATAGCCACAACATGATTTAACATCTTAGGTTGAGAAACTAGAGAAGAAGTCCACTGAAATCTGTATGGGGAATTAAATCCCTAATTCGATGAATTAGTTAAAATCTGTAGAAAGATTTAAAATTCTCTCGGATTGCTTAAAAACGTCTCTAATAATCGAGGTAGTAACGTCAAAGTGGTGGAGCCATATGTGCCTACTCCTCTTTGTCATTCTTTAGTTCGTCCGTCATTATTCGTCCTTTCAAGTACTTTCAGCCTTTTTGTTTTTGTTCGTATTTGTTTTTTCAAATGTAAATTAATACTTTATTGAAAAGTGTTGTCTGAAAATTTGAGTGGTGCTGTATATAGTTTATCTAAAAGCCTATCTTTTCCATGCACGTTGTAGTGGATACTAGATACTTCATATCATCGCATGTTTCTTAACTCTGAAGCTAAATGGAAGTTTAAGTTTAAAACTACGAAACTAAACTACATTAGTATTAGTTTCAAACAGGAATTGATTCAACCAAATTAGCCAAACCAAGAATTTGATACTTTGTTGTGATTTGGTTTCGATCGAGTGAAAAACCGATCGGGTATATTTGAAAATAGACAGAGGGATGTTCAATTATTTAACATAATTATAATGAGTAAAAACATTAAACTATAATTCACGATGAAATGAAAAGAATAATATATAACTGGAAGTTTTGATACAATGGTATACAGATAAGTGAAGGTACATAATTTGGTTAAAGTTTGCATAGAGCACAAAATTATATGAACAACATGACCATCACTGCTTCTGGACAATTTTTATAGTGGAACAAATTGGGCCTTTACGGCCTATGTTATTTAATAGCATACAAATAAATGATTCCACAATCTCTAAACGCAGGCCCACTCCCAAACAGACTACTGTGTGGTTGTGTAAGCATATATGAGTTTGTTGGAGCGTATTTGAGATTACGATCATCAAAGAGTTTTAAAGATAGTTATGAGGTTGAGTGGTAGACATAAATCAATGATTAAAGAATATTAGAACTTAATTTTTAAGTTTTTTATCTGTAAATCTAGTCCTAGACTCCTAGTGTTGCTTTTTATACGTATAAACCAAATCTAGGCTTTGAATTTATCGTTTAATAATCATCCGATTCATCCCACAGTAACATTTCACGTCATAAGAAATACTAATAGTATAACGGAAGAATCCTTGTTATACACTACAAGAATTTGATTATTAGTGATATGATAGAAAATCTTTTATTAATGGTTTTGGTGAATTACACTGTAACACAAATTAATATTTGGACAAATACGCTTGTGATGCGTATCGATTAATAAGAAAACTAAGTTTTGTCCATTGAAGTAGTTTAAAAGGCCTTGTAATGTCATCAAACTTAGATTTAATATCGAATTAATTATTATCTAAATTAGTTTATAGAGTGTAGTCTCTACTTTTTTACCATTTTATTTTCTTTTGAGGAATACCTTCAAATACCACATAACTTCTGTTTTGATCCAATGATGTCTAATTTGTGGTAAGACTTAATACTAGTATTAGGATAAAAAAGGAAAATTATCCAAGGTGTAAGAAAACAATTGCATAATAGGAGTACACATTTGTCGATCTGCGTCACTGCGTGCAGCATGCTCTCACGTCACGTGTTTGTCAATTTAATATGTTTGACTACGAGCTACTAGAAACGTAAGAAAAAAGTTTAAGACTAATCTCTTTTAACGGGAAATCAAAGCTAGAATTATATAAACACTTTTTCTGTTAATAATAATGACAATATAGAGTGTCGGACATACAGTCACAGGACCAACAAGTGGAATCGAATTACAACCTTTTAATCACGGGATTAAATCACTTAACCCAATGTCCTAAATGGTATTTAATTTTGATTCTTTCGATGCTACATAGTGTCATATCCTGATCACGTGCTGCTAACAATCCAGACGTTTTATCGTATGCAAAACTTTTATCAGATCCGAACGTTTAATATGGAGTAGTCGAACAACCAGTTTCGGAAATCCGAGTTGATAAAAAATGATCAAGACATTAGATTTCAAAAGGCATTGGTGGTTTATTGTGGCGCAACAAATTGAAGAGGATAAGAGGAACAAGATCCGGTTTTTGAGAACAAGTAACGTTTGAGTTCAGGCATTTTGCTTCTTACTTCAAACTACCAACTACAAAAGCCAAGTTCCTACTACCTAGGTCAAAATAGTTTTTTTCTTCTTTTTATTTGTTTTTTAACAACTAGATCAATTAGTATTTTTCTCTAGGAATGGAAAAAGAGACTTTTGAAGAAAATAAAAGTCAAATGGGAAGAAAATAAAGGCAAATAATCAGTGATGGAGCTACAGTAGCACTTTACTCTTTTAATTATGAATCATTTGATTTGACCTCCACTTCCCCTTGGCATCTTTTGGTTGTACTTTATGGCAAACAAAAATAACATAATTAGCGCATACCATGAGTTAACGAGAAACCTCGGTGATTTTATTTTTTTTTTACAAGATGTTAGTGCTATTTTAATTAGTTTTTAAAACATGAACTTAATTTTCGTAGTTTTTCATAACTATAATTCATCCTTTATTTAGAATCCTGGAGAATTTGTATTATTGCTGTGATTAAAAACTTCCACTTTTCCAAATAAGGTTCCTTTCTCATCCATTTATAAGAAACATAAGTTTGATGTTATGTTTAAACCGCTTACTTATTGAACATTCACATCTATTGGTTCGTTTTAGATTCATGGGTTAGCTCAATTTTAGTGAAAATCTCTCATAATTTATCTTGTCAAACACATTGAAGTTTCAAACTCTTTCCAAATTGATTCCCACAACTATATACATATATAAATAAAAATACATCCAGAGACATCTTAAATCATTTTAATGAATTTTCTCACACCATTGTACTATTTTTTTTACCAAGTAATCTAATAAAGCATTTTCATATAACTTTCTTGTGTCCATATTTTAGATTATATGGCTAAAGGTAAATTATAATATGCATCTGTTGGAAAGAAACACATACTTATCTAATGCAAAAGACCCCAATATAAAACTACCAAGGCTGTTTATGGCATAATAGTTTTACTGTAGTTAAAGTATGTGTGTCAACTACTTTTTTGAATTTTTATCAGCTTAATTAGTTGTTTTTGTCAGCAACTTAATTAGTTATTTAATCAGAAGTGGGTAAAGCTAACAGACCGACCTTTTACTAAACATAATTTTAAGAAAGAGTTGTCTTTTTTTTTGTTAAAGAAAATATCTGATGACTCTTTAATCTTTATCATGAGAATACTGTAAAGCTAAAAATAAAGGAAAAAGAACAGCAATCGAGTGAAATGATGAACATATACACACCCTTCTTTTTTTATGTGAATGATTTTTCAATATTGTGGGGCAGATTTTCTTATCCGAGTCATAAGAGATTTTGATAAAGAGTTTCATACTATGTAACCCGTAAACCTTTATTTACTTAGATAAAATATTTATTATAACCTTAAACAAAATTCACTATTTTGGTTTTAAAGTTTGAAATTGTATGTTAATTGGTGGAAAAATATACTGTATTTGTTGACTAACTAATCGTGATTGAGCACCGATATAAATATAAGTTGATCCACATCATAGAATTATGTGACAATGGGTGCATTGGACTATCCGCGTGCTTGAGAGTCCTTTGAGCTCATAAATTATCATTTGAAATAAAACAAAGAATGTTTTTGTTATACTATAATCATTTTGTACCATAAGGACCCTCCAATTATATCATATAGTTTGTAGACAGAACTGGTTTTGTCATAAATAAATTGTTTGCAGAATCTCCGTGACGGTTGATATAACAATAACTCGTATCATAACCAGCAAATAAATAAAAGCAGCACATGGAAGCCATTTGCGCAAGGATAATTCTTGCAAAAACCCATTACCAAAAAGCTGATAATAATGCTAAAAACAGCAGGGACATTCGAACCATACAATTAAAAAATCCTTAAAACAATAAACTAGATTCGATTTTGATTGTTTAATCTACTTGCTGTATGAAGTATGAACAAAAGAAATATCAATCAGGAAACAGAAGTGAAGGATCTATGTAAAGTCAAAAGGAAAATTATAAATGTAAACAAGCTGTAACTGCAGATCATGTTGTGTCTTTTAGCTATTAAATCCTACGACCAACAAGATTCTACTTTTTCTTGTAAGAAATCAGAATATATAGTATGAAAAAAAAATCAGCTAAAAGAATTGAAAACAAATGGTCTTGTTACATAAATGTTTAAAGAAAAAAAATTGATCGTCAGGGTGATTTGTTAAGTGGCTATGCGGTTTTTGTTTGCAAAAGAATACACAACAGCAAAACCGTAGATAATTATTGTGTTTTAAGAAATACTAGCATGCAATTATAATATCATGTAAAAAAGCATGCAAAAATATATGCTAAAATGATGAATCATCATCCATCATTTTCAAATAATGACCAACATGTAGTATGTGTGCATATACTCGAGTGTTTAACCAAAGGTTTTTATTTTCGAAATATATACACCTATTTTGTTATATTCAATAATTAATGAAACCTGGAATTGGAAACTGGAAGTGCAAAAACGCATAGATTAAATAGTATTTATTAAACTCTGCAGATGTTGCAGAGAGAGAGCAGGAACAGAACATGAAGAGAGGTTTGGTTTCATTGCGTGAGCTGTTTCCCTTTTCACGTGGTCTCAATTCTCTTTAAGTCTCTCTTCCTCTACCTCTTTGACTCTCTCTTTCTCCAGGCGATGCGGTTTCTTCTTTGGAAGCCATGAAAACAGAATTACTTTCGCCGATCTTCTTCTTCTTCTTCTTCTTCTCTTTCCTTGTTCTTGTCTCCTCTGGCCTAAACTCTGATGGAGTTCTCTTGATGAACTTTAAGTACTCTGTTCTTCTTGATCCTCTGTCTTTGCTGCAGTCATGGAGTTACGACCACGACAGTCCCTGTTCGTGGCGAGGCGTGTTGTGTAATAACGATTTTAGAGTTGTGACTCTGTCTCTCCCAAACTCTAAGCTCGTCGGTTCGATTCCTTCCGATCTGGGTTTCCTCCAAAACCTCCAAAGTCTCGATCTTTCCAGCAATTCGCTCAATGGGTCGTTGCCGGTTGAGTTTTTCTCCGCCAGTGAGCTCCGGTTTCTGGATTTATCAAACAACTTGTTCTCCGGCGAGATCCCTGCGACGATCGGCGATATGCACAAGCTCCGGACGCTAAATCTCTCCGATAATATCTTGTCGGGAAAAATACCGGCCAATTTGGCGTCTCTTGGTAGCTTAACGGAGATTTCTCTGAAGAACAACTACTTTTCCGGCGAACTTCCCGGCGGATGGAGATCCGTTCAGTTTCTAGACCTCTCTTCAAATCTAATCAATGGATCACTTCCACCGGATTTCTCCGGCGACAATCTCCGGTACCTGAATATCTCTTACAACCAAATCTCCGGCGAAATTCCTCCGGACGTCGGTGCCGGTTTCCCTCGAAACGCCACCGTCGATCTCTCCTTCAACAATCTAACCGGTTCAATCCCAGACTCTCCGGTTTTCTTTAACCAGAAATCAATTTCGTTTTCTGGAAACCCGGGTCTATGCGGAGGTCCGACCCGAAACCCGTGTACCATCCCTTCCTCTCCAGCCACCGTCTCCGGCGCCGCCACACCGACGTCTACACCAGCACTCGCAGCTATACCGAAATCAATCGGCTCAAATTCAGAAACCGACCCGGACGGACCGGGAAACAACAACCAAAATCCCCGAACCGGGTTAAGACCAGGAGTTGTAATCGGAATCGTAGTCGGAGACATCGCCGGAATCGCAATCCTCGCTCTAATATTCTTTTACCTCTACAGATACAAGAAGAACAATAGCGTGGAGAAGAACACGCAAAGTTTAGAAGCACACGAAGTTAAAGACACAACTTCATTATCACCATCATCATCAACAACTTCTTCTTCTTCTCCAGAACAATCCAACAGATTCGGTAAATGGTCATGTCTACGTAAAGGTCAAGAAACAGATGAAACCGAGGAAGAAGAAGAAGACGAAGAAAATCAAAGGCCAGGAGATGACAAGAAAGGGACATTGGTGACCATTGATGGAGAGAAAGAGCTTGAAGTAGAAACTCTGCTTAAGGCCTCTGCTTACATTTTAGGAGCAACCGGTTCGAGTATAATGTACAAGACGGTTCTTGAGGACGGTACGGTTCTCGCGGTTCGTCGGTTAGGTGAGAACGGTTTGAGTCAACAGCGCCGGTTTAAAGACTTTGAGGCACATATCAGAGCCATTGGGAAATTGGTTCACCCGAATTTGGTCCGTCTCCGTGGATTCTACTGGGGCACCGACGAGAAACTGGTCATTTACGATTTTGTCCCTAACGGCAGCCTCGTCAACGCCCGTTACAGTGAGTCATGATCATCTCTTTTTCATTTTCAATCACTTTCTCTTTTACGCGCACATTAGCATAGGAAATGGTGCACTTTAGTAAGGACATCAGTTTGGTAGTTGGTAGCAGTTGGATCTGTTTTGATTAGAGTCAATGGTAGGTCAAACATTTCTTAGTTGTTCTATCTTGCGCGTAGTTGTTGAATTTGTTTGTGATTTTTTTCAGGGAAAGGAGGGTCGTCGCCGTGCCATTTACCATGGGAGACTCGGCTCAAGATAGCAAAAGGTTTGGCTCGTGGACTTGCGTATCTCCACGAGAAGAAACATGTGCACGGTAACTTGAAACCTAGCAACATACTTTTGGGGCAAGACATGGAGCCCAAGATTGGTGACTTCGGGCTTGAAAGGCTTTTAGCTGGAGATACTAGCTATAACCGAGCTAGTGGGTCATCTCGGATATTCAGTAGCAAGCGATCAACAGCAACGTCTACACGTGATTTCGGACCCACACCAAGCCCAAGTCCAAGTTCGGTTGGGCCTATATCGCCCTACTGCGCACCTGAGTCGCTCCGCAACCTCAAACCGAACCCGAAATGGGATGTTTTTGGGTTCGGAGTGATCCTGTTGGAGCTTCTCACAGGGAAAATAGTGTCTATAGACGAGGTCGGGCTCGGAAATGGTCTGACGGTTGAAGACGGAAACCGGGCGTTGATAATGGCTGATGTCGCGATCCGGTCCGAGTTAGAGGGCAAAGAAGAGTTTTTACTTGGTCTTTTCAAGTTGGGTTATAGTTGTGCATCTCAAGTCCCACAAAAGAGACCGACCATGAAGGAGGCTTTGGTAGTCTTTGAAAGGTTCCCTATTGGCACTTCGACTAAGTCCCCATCGTACCATTACGGACACTATTAGTATCGGTCACACACTAACTTTTTAAGCCTCTCTGTGAGGCCTTAAGTATATACACATTAAACAACTTGTTCGTCTTGTTATTTGCTCGCTTGATTGTTTCTATATGATTTTTAGGATCTTACCAAGTGTGGTTTACTTTTAATTTTTGATTTTTAATTTAGAATGTCTGTTAGATAATAAAGAGGAAAATTCGTTATGAATTTGAGCTACTAAAGTTTTACTAAACACAGTGTAATCAAATCGTATTGTAAACAACTAAACACACCTAAAAAAAAATGTTTGAACCAAACCGGTAATTTGATCGTAAAATTTCAATCGGTTCGATTAATACTGTAAACCGGAAATGATCCAACCCAAAAAATCTACCAAATCTCTCCGTCTCCTCCGTCGCAGTTTCAAAGGCAGAGAGAGACCAAACAGAGAGTGAGAGAGATAGTTTACAAAGTTTGGTCCTTTCAATGGAATCCGCAACTACTGCTGGTGTCTCTGCAGCACCCACCGACGATCTCCAATCGAGCGGCTCATCACCATCATCGTCTCCCGCCGACGCCGTTTCACGGCTGATCCACGCCGTGGAGCAGCGGCAACAGCACCTTCTCGACAAAACAGTCCCTCACGTCCTCTACCGATGGATCGCATGTCTCTGCGTCGTGTTGATCTACTTCGTCCGCGTCTACTTGGTGGAAGGATTCTACATCATCACTTACGCCATCGGAATCTACCTTTTGAACCTCATCATCGCATTTCTCTCTCCTCAGGACGATCCGGAGGCTTCTCTCACCACCGGCGGGACTCTTCCTACTCGTCGATCCGATGAGTATCGACCCTTTGTTCGCCGTCTTCCCGAGTTCAAATTCTGGTTCCTCCATTTCCCTCTTTCTTTGATTATCCCGCAATTGATCGATTTTGTTAGATCTGATGATGTAGAAGTGGTTTGTGTAGGGTTTTAGTAGAGATTTTGGGCATAGTCTTATTAGTTTGATTGCAAATGAGAATTGACTTAATCTTGTGAATCATTGTATCGGTTGTGTGCTTGAGATGATGATGAAAGTTTATGACTTTCTTGTTGTAGATTGACTCTAGTTAGGTAGATTCAATTCTCATAGAAGCTCTATTTGCTGTATAAATGTGAAAAATTAGATTTTGAACCAAATTTTAGAGAAGAATTCGACAAGAAAGCCTACAATATATGTGTTCATCAGTTTAAGAGTGTGATTGGATGAAGTTGTTTGTTAAAGGTTGCATAAAGATGACATTTTTGGATTAGTTTGCTGCTGCCTGTTGATTGATGCATTTTCTTGTTTTGATTTGTAGTTTAAAATGAAACTTTTCTGTGTTGAATGTTGCTTCATAAAGATGACATTTTTAGATTATGTTGCTTCTTGATTTATGCTTTTTCTTGTTTTAGTTTGTGTTTTTGAAATTGAAATTTTCTCTGTTTTTGTTATACGCAAGGTTATCGATCATTAGAGCATTTGTGATCGGTTTTACAATGACGTTCTTTGAAGTCTTCGATGTACCGGTTTTCTGGCCAATACTACTATTCTACTGGGTGATGTTGTTCTTCCTCACGATGAGGAAACAGATTCAACATATGATCAAATACAGATATGTTCCTTTCTCTTTCGGCAAACAGGTACGCGTTTGTTTTTACAAAACCGTCTTTTCGCGTTCGAACAAGTTGTTGAGTAATAGTTTTGTAACTTTGATCCTTCTTCTAGCAGCAATATGGAAAGAAACCTGCTCCAACATCAGAGAGCAGTGAATGATCAACACGAAGTAGAAGAAAATTAGCAGTTTTAGAGTGTCGGTCTTTTCTTTTCGTTTGATCGCACCAGAAAAAGCTTTTGTTTAGGGATGAAGTAGGAGAAACAAATCAATCGGATAAGACTCTTGTAGCCCTGTCTCAGAATTTTTGTTTTGCTCTTTTGTTATCATCCTGACTATTTATTGGTTTCACGTGAACACAACAATGTATCTTATAAATTTTATCTTTTATCAGTGATGAATAATGTTTTATACCTGACCCTTTTGTAACCATCACGGTGAGAACTGAGAACAGACATAGCGCTGTCCGGTTCTATCGATGTTCGTGGAATGCGTCTAGTTTAGGGAGTTTCAGATGATGCGTAGGGTATTTTGGACAATCTGTCACTGAGTTCTCATGATTCTGTACTCTTTTTCGAAGTGTTAGTGTGATTAATAACCAAATGCAATTAAGAATCTCGACGAAGGAAATAAAAGAGTTAGCTTAGCCAAGTACATATGCATCGTTCACGGCATGTTTAGCTAATACGTATACATGCATACTCCAAAAAGAACAACCGAGAAGAGAAATGATACAGTTTGTTGCTAAAAATACATATTGAAAAATATTGAATTTATGATCTAAATGATGACATAGACACTGCTAAACAAAGCATGTAGGAATAAATGAAACGAGTGTGGTTAGTACATAAAAGTTAATAATAGTATTACATACTCTCGATCTCACGGAAAGAACTTGATGTTAATCTTTTCATTAAATTATCAATTAAAAGTAAACAAAAAATATGATCAAAATGATGAGGAAATGTTAAGAAATGGAGAGAAGGCACTTTCGGTGGAAGGGGAAAGAAACACCAAACACACGTTTGTGGGAGGAATAAAATGTCTGAACTCTCTGAAGGGTTTCGTCAGCTTTCCGTCTTTGACTTTGAGTGTCTCTTCAGTCAAGTTTTGTGTGTACTTTGGTTTTCTTTCTTTCTCAACTCTCCTTTGTCCTTTTTGCGGCTCTCAACTTTCGTCCTTTTTGGTTTCTTTACCCGTGAAAGTTTCGTACCTACAAAACAAAGAGGCTATAATTACAAAATAACCGGTTAAATCGGTCTGACCAACCAATCCAATAACGATGTTATACTGGTGTCCGATCCAAAAATTTAAAATATTGCTTGACAAGTGATTTTTTAACACCACCATCGTAGATATTTGTCTAGACTTTTCAATTAAACAATATAATAATAATAAGCATAGTGTTTTGTGGTTTTAATGGTCTTAAGTGTTTTCCACAACAACCAACCTAAAACCTAAACCCAAAGAAACAAAATAATAAGTGAAGAAGCAAGAAAAATATAGACATGAATAAATAAGGAAACAATTAATGAATTAAAAAAATTAACAAAGGGATGCTGACAAAAAGTCAACTCCACCAAGCTGGCGAAGACAAAACCTCTGCGATTAAGTTAAAACTGGGTCCCATTTTCTAAATCAGATCTTACGGCTTACGACCAAAGTTTGACCCGATGCTCCTCTCCATCAAACTGCCCCCCTCTATTCGTTTTTCGTCCGTTGTGACTTGTGAGTCTTATCAATTATCATCACTTATCTGTCTATCCAAATTTAACATTTTCTGTTTTGTTTTTCCAAGAAATCACTGGCTTTTTCTGTAAATTTCTTATACTTTTACAAGGAAAATAGGTTGAATTTTTCATACCGCCGATATTTTATACTCGTAACGTTAAGTTTACTTATCATTTGCTCAAACTCAAGAATCAATTTATCAACACACGATATAGATTTTGAAAATATGATTACACGAATTTTCTATGGAGAATAAAATGGATTTAGGCCAAAAAATCAGAAAATAAAAAGATCCAACTTCTCTGAAAAGAATTCTCGACAAATGAGCGATCAACATATTGTAGCTTAGAACTTAGAAGAAACACTATAAACAACAAATTTTAGTAATTTTTAACTTCTTATTCACGCTAAAAACATTATTTCTAAACTTATTCTCATGTTTAAAGTTTAAACACGTTTTTCATTTTTTCTGTTCATATATTTTATATAAAAAAACTGGTACCGCTAGAGCTAGTATCAAAATTATATATTTTGCTACTGTTGTAGCAAACACATGTGATTACAAAACCTCCTAATTGTGTACAAAGTTTGACTTTTTGACTTAACAAAAAAAGGATATTGACTCTGAACAACAAGATTAGTAATGACTAATGAGAATCAAAGGAGGAAACTCTATTTAAGAACATGGAAAAGTCTAACATGACACATTAGTCAGTCACCTAAACCAATTTTCTTTTCTTGACTATTTTGTTTTTTTTTTCTTTCTCTTACATACACACCTCAAATCCCAAAAGTCATAACTCTCCATCTCTCTCTTCTTCCTCCTCTAGAGAGAGATTTTATGGCGGTGGAGCTCATGACTAGAAACTACATCTCCGGCGTCGGGGCCGATAGTTTCGCCGTTCAAGAAGCAGCAGCTTCAGGACTCAAAAGTATTGAGAACTTCATCGGTTTAATGTCTCGTGAAAGCCTTAACTCCGATCAACCATCATCTTCTTCTTCAGCCGCCGCTGCTGATCTGGAAACAGCTCGGAACACGACGGCGGACGCGGCTGTTTCGAAGTTTAGGAGAGTCATATCTCTCTTAGATCGGACTCGAACCGGACACGCCCGGTTTAGACGCGGTCCGGTTAATTCTCCAGTAATTCATCAGGAAACTAAACCGACGCCGTTTCAAGCTCCGCCGCAGATCCGTAAAGCTCCTTTCTCGTCATCGTTCAAAACGATCGATTTCTCTTCTCTCTCCTCCGTGACGACGGAATCAGAGCAGACGAAACGTCATCATCACCGTCCTTCTGAGACGGCGCCGTTTGGGACTCAAAGTCTCTCCACGACGGTTTCTTCTTTCTCCAAATCAGCAAAGAGGAAATGTAATTCGGAGAATCTCGTTGCCGGAAAATGCGCCTCTGCTTCCTCCGGTCGTTGTCATTGCTCTAAGAAAAGGTATTCATTTATTAGATTCGATCGAATTTATATAAGATTTGATCATTTGACCCAACAATTAAAAAAGTAAACTTTCGTAGATTTGGTATTAGATTCGATCTGAAAATGTTTTTTTCTATTACAGAAAGATAAAACAGAAGAGAGTAGTTAGGGTTCCGGCGATCAGTGCTAAAATGTCCGACGTTCCTCCAGACGATTACTCATGGAGAAAATACGGACAAAAGCCAATCAAAGGATCTCCACATCCAAGGTACTTTTCATTTTTATAACAAAAATCAAAACTTTTTTAAAGTTTGATTCTGAATCATGATGTGTGACTCTGTTTCTTGATTTGGAAAAACAGAGGATATTACAAGTGTAGTAGCGTAAGAGGATGTCCAGCTCGTAAACACGTGGAGAGAGCAGCGGATGATTCGTCGATGCTAATCGTTACTTACGAAGGAGACCATAATCATACTCTCTCCGCCGCTGATCTCGCCGGCGCCGCCGTAGCTGATCTCATTTTGGAATCGTCTTGAAAGAGAAAAAATAATCTCAAGGCTTATAATATGAAATTTAGATTTTTAGTGAATTTACTTCTCTTGTTTTTTTGTTCTTGTTTTAAAATGACTGAAACTATATGAATCATATATGTAATCAAAAAGCTTTTGCGGAAGAATATAAGTTGTATCATAATTCGATCCTTGGCTCTTTGAATTTGTTGTTGATAGGGGAAAATATATTTTGTTACTTATCGGAAATTGGATGGCCAATTGCAATTTGAAAATTTTATTTTGTATTTTAGGGAAAAACGAAAAGCTTAGGGTCGAATTTAAGAGCAAGGTGTGGTACATGTGAAATGGTCAAAGGGTTAGAAAGATTTGGGGACCAAAGTTGTCGTGTTTGACTATAGCTTCTAGCCTTCCTTCTACGACCAAAAGAGTGTTTTGTTTTGTTTTCCTACTTCTTTCTTTCATTTAAACAGAAAATTTATAAATAGGTTTTTTCAACCCCACAAAATTATGATTAGAAAGTGAATTCAAAATGTAAAATTATTCTGCAACGGTACAATTTCTGTAAAATGTAGGAGAAATCTCGATGGGCGTGTATTAATTTTTCCATCAAGAATTAATTTTTTCTATGTTTTTTCTTGTAATGGAAAATGATGAAAGAAAAAAAGAGAGTGGCAGAAGAGAAGTTGTCGTGGTCATGTGTTCGATCATGTGAATCGATTGGAGTTTTGCGAAGGAGGAAACAAATTGGACTGGACTTTTGAGACAATTACGTGTCTTTTTGTTCCACTTTGGTCTATCCATTAGGTTATTCTTTTTGACCCTTCGTCTCGTCTAAGTTCTAAAGTCATTTTTCTTCTATATATAAAATTTCCTTTCATTTTCAGTAATTATACACCTTAGTCAATCTCAATTTTACTTCCTAGAAATTAACGAGTGAATGTTGGAGGAGATATCATAATAGAACTTAATACAAGACGTAGTTGTGAGGTGTTTTTGTTGTTGTCTATAATCCACTAGACAACAAATTCGAATTTGATGGTAACAGCACTAGTATTATTTCAGTTCTTCAATTAGATTACAAGATCAAGCTGACCATGGATCCCCTGGTTTTGGCCCATAATAACACATTTGGAGCACCTTACGAGGTTTGGGTTTCTTAGGTGAAGTCATATAGCTTTTCTTCATTGTTCATGCATGGGTTATCAAAGATAACATGGGCTTACTGAAGGCCCACTAAGATCAACCACCTCTTTTTCTTTTGACAGATTTATGAAGAATTTAAGTCAATGTTAATATATATGCACTGGTAGCAACTGAAGTCAATGCGTTGAAAAGGTAAAAGTCTACGACATTCATAGGTTGTTCCCTAATGGGTCCTGAATTTCTGATAATCATAATATCGATGTCCCAACTTTGACAAAAAACATAAATGCTTCAACTAGAGTTATGTTACAATTACAACTCGTGTTTCCTTCTCTTCTCACCAGCTCAACACGACTATTGATACACTAATCCGTGACAAAGATTATCTCAAAGTCGCACTCTAGAAGACCGTTACTATGACAATCTTCTTATGCACTTATTCGACCTGCTTTTATAGCCTATAAGTTCTATAAACTTTCTTTAAACGTTGTACTTTCCAAAACATCGGAACTGTTTTTTGTGCTGCATAAGTATTACATGTCCTTATAAATTTGGTTTCATACGGGTAGATATTTTATTGTGGCCAAAGAATTTGAGCTCATTTCATAAAAAAATGAAGAACTAGTCTCGATCACTGCAAAACTTTAAAAAAATCTGATGCTCTCGTTTACACTTGGAAGAGACTTTTCCGAAGAACGAAAAAGAAAGAAAGGAAAAAGATAACATTCACGTTGCCTCATCGATTCCATGACTCAATTCAGATTTTTATTTTTTATCTTGTTATATGAAACCAACGAGTGTCCTTCAAACTTTCTAAATAAGTATAACTCTAATTTATAGACCCACAAGTCCACATGATATAATGGGTTCATACAAAAGATGTGAAAATCAATAATCTAAACGACTTGGTGGTCCCTTATCGATTTTAGGGTTTTTCTTTATGCTTCAACAAATTAAAAGATCAATATAAGTTTTGAATTTTGGTAATTGGCACCATGTTCATGTGCCAACTAGTTCACAGCTAGTCCTCACCACAAAATTGAAGTAGAGAAAATTAGAAACACGCTTAATTCTAATTTTATTATATATTTTAAACTCAGAATTAGTTGTTAATTACCACGGTTCAATTAAGTAAAGCATGATCACCAACTAAAGTTACCAATACAGTCAAATTTGCACGGCTATAATCCAATGGTGCATGAGAAGATGTCGAATGGATTGGTCTGAAACTCGATGGCCAAATAATTGGTAATACGTTCACATCCCCAAAACTTCAGTGATAATCTTTTCTTGTTGACACTAACTTGCAATATATCAAAAATAATTATATTCGTTTTGAAAACTATATATACTAGTAATCGCATAAATTATGATTGGTAGGCAACTTCCTACAGGAGGATGAGGTTTTTAAAAACCACGAAAAAGGAAACTGAGAAAAAGACAAAAGAACTTCATTTTGTCATTTATATAACAAAGATATGAAAGAACATGTCGTACCTATGAACTGTGATGATAAAAAAAGGAAAAATTATGCTATTAATCATATTGTAAATTTCATGATACAAAATTAACTATTACACTTATAATAATACTAATACCTATCATCATAATGATAATACAGATACGATTTCATAAGTAGAGACAAAAACATGATTACGAAAGTCTTACACACTCCTAAACTTTCTTGAATTCAGTTTATTGTGTGTGCATATGTGAGTTGCATAATCATGATTCATGAGTGTCCCTAATAATCATAATAGCATTTCGTTCAAGGTTTATGTAACGAAGAGAGAGTCTAACGCCTTTACTCTACTAGTTCGTTTGTCATTTTCCAAAAAGCTTGTGTAGTATAAATGTATGTGACTTTGCCGCCATGTAAATCCAAATCACAAATTTGTAGTGACATTAATGTCGGTCATACTCACGGACAACAATTCGACCTGCGCGATTGCATATTTTCTTGTGCTAACTTTAGTCTTTTCGTTACAAAAAACATCATTCTGTGATCAGCTATAGTCTCTCTTTATTGATAAGATTTGATTGGCATGGAGCCAAATCCTCCTCATTTGTCATCGTCGAGTGCCGACTTAAAGTGGCTTCAAACTTATAAAGGTTGTTGCGTGGCCTGTTAGACCAATATGATGCAAAAGCTAGAAGTATTAAAACAAAAAATTTGTGAAAATTTTAATTTTTGAGAGACCACAAATAGGTTTTTCTTCTCCTGTACTTCCTTATGCTTTGTGTTTTTTTCATTTTCTTTTGTCTATCATTAATGGTCCATTTCCACACACCATACATTGTCCACCGACCTAACATTGTTTTCTTTCTTTTTTTTTTTGCATCCAAAGAACTCAGACATATTCCAATTTTTTATAAAAATGACGAATTATACTAAAAAAAGAAAAAGTAAATCTTGAGTAGAAAGAGTTGGGGAAAAAAACTATACAATTCCAGAAATGTGATTACGAGTCTGCTTGTTTGTATTATTATAGAGTTTCACCTGTAAACGACAAACGAAAATTTGGAAGAGAAAAAAAACGACAAAAGAAATAGAGATTCATCTGTATAAACATAACCATTGTCATTAAAAAAAGTTACCCTCGAAAGTATAAAACATGATGGCTTTTAATAATTGGTTTATCTTCTCCACCTAAAGAAATTTGCACTGTTAACGTCATGATTTCATATTTTCAGTTCAAATTAAAAAATGAGAGAGGCATGCACTAATAAACACTCTATAATCATCAGTTTTACTTATTAGTATAACAAAAATGAGGAGATTATTACAGACAAACCACCTCAGTCCTCAGAAATCCAATCCCACTAACAACATCTCATAACAACACGCGTGTCATCACTTCTTCGCTAATCGCTATCATAGGTTTTTATGTAGATATTAACTAATATGTTCTGGATTTAGTTAATCAATCGCATGATTTCTACGTTTGTACAAAATGTGTAACAATCAAATAAGAGCCCAATGACAAAACCATTACCATTCCATTTAACGATCCAACCAATCCCTATTTGTCTTCACACTAACAGCACGTATATCTTGATTAGTAACATGTTTGGTTTCATGTTTTGTTAAGAGTGACATTTTTTCTTTCCCTTCTGTTTTGTCATTTCACCAAAAACGTATAGCTTTGTTTCATATTCGCGCAAATAAGAGTTAAACAACACACAATTAAATTCGGCAAAATGACTTTTTGTTTAACCATTCAGCTAAATTCAATTTTAAATATTTACATTTTTTTATCAACCACATATTTATATTAAAATAAAAACATCCTCATTGATAAACCAATTTGGAAGAGAAGAATTTACATTGCGTTCTTAAAAAAAAAAGATAGAAATCGTTAACAACAGTATCTCATACGTACAAAAGAACAAATGAAAAGAAAAAGAAACATAAATAATCAGTAGTAATAGTAGAAATTGAAAATAAAATAAAATAAAATAAAAATCATACATATAAATAGGACACTGGAGAAGAAGATTGTTTGTCGTCTGTCTCTCGAAATATAAAGAATCTAAAAAAAAAAAAAACTTTAAATTTAAGTGTCGGTGAATTCCCAAACCTCCTCCTCTTTCTTCTCCTCACGTCTTTAAACTTTCTTCCCTTCGCATGTAACCGCCTCGCCGTCAAATCTCCTCTCAGATATTTTCTTCCTTTCTCTCCTCCTCTTTAGATTTTCAATCTCTCCAAAACCAGATCGGGACGATGATTCTGTGAGGAACTCTAGATTTTGCTCTGTTTCTGCGGCGGTTATGGAGACGGGAGCGAAAGTAACGGCGACGGTTACAGCGACGGCGATGGGGATTGGGACGAGGAAGAGAGATCTGAAACCGTACAAAGGGATACGGATGAGGAAATGGGGAAAATGGGTGGCGGAGATTAGAGAGCCGAACAAGCGTTCGAGGATCTGGCTCGGCTCTTACTCCACGCCTGAAGCGGCGGCGAGAGCTTACGACACTGCCGTTTTCTACCTCCGTGGACCTTCCGCGAGGCTTAATTTCCCGGAGCTTTTGGCCGGGCTCACGGTTTCAGGCGGCGGCGGTGGAGGAGGAATAGAGGGAGATTTGTCGGCGGCGTATATAAGGAGAAAAGCGGCGGAGGTTGGTGCTCAGGTGGATGCGCTTGGAACGACGGTGGTGGTGAATCCCGGCGAGGATATTCGCCGGAGCTGCGGTGATTACGAGGATGAGGAGGAGGAAGAGAGTCGTAACGGAATTAAGAGCGGTAGCGGGTCGTTGGAACGGGTCGATTTGAATAAATTACCCGACCCGGAAAATTCGGATGGTGACGACGAGTGGGTGAAGAGGAGATAGGTCAAAAAATAAAAAAAAATGTAGCTGTAGAAGGAGAATGTTTGTCTCTTATGATGCGCCTGTTGTCGCTAACTTGCGCTTCTATTTTCATCCTTAAAGTGTAATCATCTCCATATTTTTGGTTTCATCATAAAAGATTTTAACTAAAAATCTCTACATTTTTTTTGTCAAGCACACTTATTTTCAATTAAATACTCTTGATAAACCAATTTGGAAAAGAAGAGTTAAAAATTTCGTAGACCTAACTGTACGAATCTAAAAAAAAGTTAAAATCTTAAAATCTCAAATTTGTCACTTACACAAAGTTGCACGTACATACGAAATGAACTGTTGTTTTTAGTGCGGTCCATCTGTATTACTGTACATCATTAAACAGAAAAGTTAAGAGTTTGATTCTTGAAAAATAGTTCTAATTAAGCTATTTAGTATTGTAGATGTACTCATGCACATAACATTCAAAACAGTAAAACCTATGGATATTCTAGTGGTAAGAAGCACTATAGAAATTAGTATTAGAAAAATGAACAAACTGGAAACGAATGAAATGAAGATGATAGAAGAGTAATTTTGTTCCACTCATTTTTTTGAACATATAGATGAACAATTTATTAAAATTTGTCATCAATTTTCACGTTTTCGCTTTAAATGGCGACTAGTCAGAAAAATGTACAATTCAACCATATTTTAGATTACGTAAATGCAAATAAAATCATACTCGGAATATCGGACATAGTCTATAATATTATGGAGTATTCTTGAGCTGGCTTTGCTGCTAAGATTATATCATAAAGCAGAAGATGCGCAAAAGTATGACAATATAGTTTTTTATGCGGTTGGGGATGAGAAATTGATATGTTATAGAAAGTAAGAAGAAAGTTGCAAGAACACAATTGTGGAGGTTGGTGCAACTTTGTCCCGTGTCCTAACAACTAAAGCTCTGAAAAATTAACGTAACCACTAAAAGTGATTTGATGGGTTTTGAGGATTTAAATGTCGATAGCAAACTACAGCTCGATTTTTATTTGTATATTCGGTTTTAAGGGTTTTTTCTTGTGTGTGGCAGAATTGGTCGGCAAGATTCTTTAGAGGGATTCTTCTTCTGATGATATTTTGTTTTTATTTCTTGTAGCCATTGGCAAATTCCACAAACGTGAAAAGTGAGGAACGGTTGTATAACGGGTGATGTGTGAAAACTAAAGATTGAACACAAGTCTTGTGACCACAAACACGATGTAAGCTTTTTTGTTTTTCCAGACATGTTCTGTGTGATCCCCCCACACGGAAAGATAAAAAACAATTAGAGGTAAAAAAAGTAATATGTGAAAGTGAAGTTTCGATTTATGGTTTTTATTGACTCCTCAATTCAAAGTCTTAAATATGATGAGTCTCTGACGTTGCGATTACTTTCGTTCTCATTTTGTTTTACTTGTTATGAACTAGCTGAGGCTGAATGAAAAGAAAAAAAGGTCAGCAATGAACGAAATTTGAATAATTCCGCTATTCCTTTTTATCATTTGAAAAGTAAATCCATTTCGTAGGTTGAATGTGTTCACAATATAACTAGAAAAACCGAAAGTCAGTATACTAAAACCATTTTTTTAGCGTTTTATTATTACTTTGTAAAACTAATTTATACAACTCAATTGTTTTCCACTATTCAATCATTTGACTGTTCCACTATTTTACTAACAATCGATTTTAAAAGGGTAAAAGATTAATGCAGATGGTATTGGTAGCTCAACAATATGGCTTACCACTTGCGCCCATTGTACGGACAAGATTAAGCAGCAAGGCATAAAGATATTTTGGTTGAACCAAAGCAAGAAGTACCGTAAAAGAGAGTACTTTGGTGGATAAACAAACCAAAGAAAGAGGAAAGCTTTTTATGTTTTGTTTGTTGTTAATCAAAAGTATATGGTTAGATGAGAATCAAATACCCTAAAGCATCTGATAACCTAACCCATCAACAAAAACAGAAGCTGATTCTGTTTCTGCTGAAAGACAGAGATATGTGCACTTAATAACACCATTTTTTAGTTAACGAAATCCTCGCTGCGTCTCCTAACTTCTTGGAACCTTCTAAAGTTTATTAGACCAACCACGACAAATAACGAGAACCAATAAAAAGTAGTACATAACAAGAGCTTAGCAGCTTCTTCTTGATTGGTTCTTTCCTCAGGAACTAATGGGGATGGTGTCATCAAATCTATACAAGCTTCCCTGTTGTTCTTCTTCTTGAGTAGCTTTTGCACTGCATTGAAACTCAATAGAAAAGTTACACCACAAGATGTAGAAACATTTGTCTTCTGAGCTATGGTATCAACTGTAATTTCAATAAAACACCTAACACAAACATTCATTACAAAATCATGAAACTAAACGGATTGTTGTGCTATGAATATGATCATAACTCATACCCTGAACATTCGAGAAGATTGACTGAGAAACCATAACAAAAGCTTCAAGACTTCAGTTCATACTATCAGAGACCTATCTGCCAAAGAATCGGATTAGTGAATGCCAATGCAAACAGTGGGATGATTATTATAAGAAAAGCATTCACTTTAAAAACATGGAGCTCTGAGTTGTTTCATTTCATATAAACAAAGCAAAAAACTTCCACTGCCTATGAACAAAGCAACTTTATAACCTGAGCATAGACAATGCATACTAAGCAATTTCAAATCGCCATTTATCACACAGCCATGAGACATTCCTTAAAACTGTAATAATCTGATATTGAAGATACAGCTCACAAAGTCCAATGCTTTAGAGCTCACACTCTTAAAAAATCAAGCTTATAAGCCATCTTCACTAAACCTTCTTTTTCTTCAATGTCAGATTCATAAAACCAAATGCAACTTCTCTCCTTCCTCTGCATTCATCACCAAACACTCTATATACTCACACTTCTTCTCCTGCAACTAGCAATCACGAAATTCTCGGTATAAAATTAGCTCGAATTGATTGTATGATTAAGGTTTACCGGATTTTAACAGTTCATGGTTAATTAAACACCAAAAATTCCGAGAATCTAGAAATGAAATTCTCAATTTTTATGAGTCAGCAACTACCAACCAGATTCATAAATGTCACGACTTTCACAAACCAAATCAACTACAGTACCCACTCTCACTCGCATTGAAACCAGCGAATCTAATTTGAACAGTCACTCTCACACTCGGATTCACTAAATCAGAATCGAAAACAAAAATTGAATGCAAAAAAAACCACATTTTCCAAAACGTTCCCAACCAAACTCGAATTCGAAACTGATCAAACTCATTCAGATCGTTCCGGGAGCTCACCGGAGCTGAACTCGTCGTAAAACGGCAAGCGACGGCGGAGCAAAGCAATGGGGAATTGGTCTCCGTGTAGAAGACAGTCATGACATTAGCACACGTGAGATTTGGTGGGGCCCCGTAGTGACTGCTTGAAATGAAATCGGACGGCTGACAACAAAGCAGACCATTTCTCTTGTATTAATCTAAAACCGTTAAAAAACAAAGAAAACAAGTAAAAAACAGAATCGGACGGCCGAGAAAAAACAAGTTTTTTTTTTGTTTTTTTTAATTAACCTGGCTAGGGTTTTCGAGCAAAGAGAGAAGAAGCATCTCGTTTTGCTGAGACTTGAACAAGTATATAATCTCAACTTTTCTCTATCACTTACCCGCTGCGGTATCGCCGTGCTGCCCACAATCTCCGACTTCGTCTTCTCCATCGTCGTCGTCTCCTATTTTATCATTTCCTTCATCTATCCCTTAAATTAAAAAAACCCAGAAAAAAAACCCCCTTTTTTTATCGTTCCTTCTTCTCAATCCAAATCCCTTTGTTGCAATCAAACCCAGAAATGGCGCAGGTTCAACAAGCTCCTTCTTCGCATTCGTCCGTCGGAGACGGAGCCTCCTCGGTGGCTTCCGGCGGCGCCGGAGACGGAGTGAATCACGGTGCTTTGTGTTCGCTCTACGTCGGAGATCTGGATGTCAATGTGACGGATTCTCAGCTCTATGACTATTTCACCGAGGTGTGTCAGGTCGTCTCTGTTCGTGTTTGCCGTGACGCTGCTACCACTACTTCTCTTGGTTATGGTTATGTCAACTACAACAACACCGATGATGGTTTAGTCCCCTCAAATCCTTCTCTCTGTTTGATATAACATTGGTCTACATTGTGGTTTACGATCTAATTTTGTGAAAGTTATAACCTTTGGGATACTCTGAGTGATGGGTATTTGCAAAGTTGACATTTTTTATTTGTTTATGTGATTTCGGATTGCATTTTGGTTAAAAAATGATGTTTTGTTAGGGTAATGTTGAATGTTTTCTCTGACTCTAATTTGAAAGTTTGGGTTTTTAATTTGGTTAATGACAGCTGATAAGGCAGTGAAGAAGCTTAACAACAGTATTCTCAATGGGAAGATGATTCGTGTGACTTACTCTTCTCGTGACCCTGCTGCTCGTAGAAGTGGAATTGGGAACTTATTTGTCAAGGTATTTGCTTTTTTTTTTTTTCTGATATTTTTGATTTCTCTAGCACCATAAGCTCTGTTTGATGATGCCTAATTCTCTCTGGTGGTTTCTCATTTTGAAGAATTTGGACAAGTCTGTTGACAACAAGACTCTGCAAGAGGCGTTTTCCGGGTGTGGAAAAATCTTGTCCTGTAAGGTTGCTGCTGATAGCTTGGGTCAGTCTAGAGGATATGGCTTTGTGCAGTTTGAGAGTGAGGAATCAGCTAAAAAGGCTATTGACACTCTCAATGGCAAAGTGCTGAATGACAAGCAGATCTTTGTTGGTCCGTTTCTCCGGAAGGAGGAAAGAGACTCTGCTGCTGATAAGATCAAGTTCACGAATGTGTACGTGAAGAATCTCTCTGAGACGACTACTGATGACGAGCTGAAGACTACTTTTGGTCAGTATGGTCAGATCTCTAGCGCTGTGGTTATGAGAGACGGAGATGGGACCTCGAGGTGTTTTGGATTTGTCAACTTTGAGAATGCTGAAGATGCGGCTCGCGCTGTTGAGTCCCTTAATGGGAAGGTGTTTGATGACAAGGAGTGGTACGTTGGTAAAGCTCAGAAGAAGTCTGAGAGGGAACAAGAGTTGAGCCGGAAATATGAGCAAGGCGCAAGGGAGACTGGAAACAAGTTCGATGGGTTGAATTTGTATGTTAAGAACCTTGATGACACTGTCACTGATGAGAAGTTGCGCGAGCTGTTCGCTGAGTTTGGTACAATTACTTCTTGCAAGGTCAGTTACGTTGCTTTGCACATACATACCGTGAGAGATTTCAGTTTTTGTAACCTCTTTACTCTTTAACAAACAGGTTATGCGAGACCCGAGTGGTACTAGCAAAGGATCAGGATTTGTTGCCTTCTCTGCTGCTAGTGAAGCTTCTAGAGTGGTAATATACATTTGTCATGTGCTTAGACGATATACTAAACTGTTTCGAGTCTCTGTTTTGTTTATTCATGTATAAGCTTTTGGGGTCTTTTGCAGCTGAATGAAATGAATGGTAAAATGGTTAGTGGCAAGCCGTTGTATGTGGCTCTTGCACAGAGGAAAGAAGAAAGAAGGGCTAAGCTGCAGGTAAATATTTCACACCATCGATAAACAGCATAAGCGCTCGGTTACTTTTGTTTGTTCCATCATCATAAGTCCATTGTCTTCTCGTTTTCAGGCACAGTTTTCTCAAATGAGACCTGCTTTTATCCCCGGTGTTGGTCCTCGTGGTATGCCAATGTTCCCAGGTGGTGCTCCAGGACAACAGATTTTCTACGGTCAGGGACCTCCACCGATCATTCCTCACCAGGTACCACATTATTCTGTGTTCTTTTGAGTTGTAATTAGAAATCAAGAACCACTCATCTGATTTACTTTAATTCTCTGTGATAGCCTGGATTTGGATATCAGCCTCAGATGATGAGGCCAAACTATTTCGGACCGATGATGCAGCCAGGTCAGCAAGGTCCACGACCAGGTGGGAGACGGTCAGGTGATGGACCTATGCGCCATCAGCCACAGCAGCCAATGCCTTATATGCAGCCACATGTTAGTTAATTTCTGAGATAAGAAACAGAATAAAAACAGTCTCCTTAATCCCTTGGCAGTCTTTAATTTTGCTTTCTTTCTCTTGTTTAGATGATGCCAAGAGGACGCGGATACCGTTACCCTCCTGGTAGAAACGGTCCCGACGGTCCAATGCCAGCGATGGTTGCTTATGACATGACTGGAATGCCTTATGCTCAGCCTTTAACCGCTGGTGTATTGGCTTCTTCCCTTGCTCAAGCATCACCTGCTCAGCAGAGAACAGTAAGTCTCTCTCTCTCTCTCTCAATATATATAGTCTCTCAGTAAGTTTTACTTACATTATCTGTCTTCTTTTTGGGTTTGTGTAGCTTCTTGGTGAGAGTCTATACCCACTAGTGGACCAGATTGACCACGAGAACGCTGCGAAAGTGACCGGAATGCTTCTGGAAATGGATCAGACTGAAGTTTTGCATCTGCTCGAGTCACCAGAGGCTTTAAATGCTAAAGTTACGGAAGCATTGGATGTGTTGAAAAACGTGAACCAGCCAAAGGAGCAGGTGAGTGAAGGCAAAGGAAGTCCAAGTGATCTCTTGGCTTCACTTTCCATTAATGATCACTTATGAGAAGCTTTTTGTCAGAGTTTTACTTTAACTCATCTCTCTCTCTCTCTCTCTCTCTGATTGACAAATTTTTTGCGGGAATTGTTTTGCATTTTTAGACTTTTTTGCTCAGATATGATTGTTTCTGTTTTCACAGTACTTGAAAGGATGGTTGTTTTTGTTGGATGATCTTTTGCTATTGACTAGTGAAAGTCTTTTTATGAATGGGTTTTTGATTATCTTTGATAAAATGTTTATTACACCAAAAAAAAAAAATCATCTCTGTTAACTTCGTAACGGTTCTTGAAGTTCTTGAGCTTCTCTGTGAAGCTGTAAAACGTATTCAAGCTCACAAATCACATCCGCCATGCTTGGCCTATCTTCACCGAAGTTCTTGAGACATTTCTCTGCGATTTCCATGAACTTCCTCAGAGAATCTTGCTCGATTTGCCCTGTCAGTTTCGGATCCACGATCTCGTTCACTGTCCCTTTGGATTTGTGGAGCATCGCCCACACTGCAAGATTCACAATCTTGTTAGCAAGATCATGTTCCAGAGCCGGTCTTGCGCACAAGACCTCGAGGAGAACAACACCGAACGCGTACACATCTGACTTCTCCGTCAAGATATGCGTCAGCATATACTCAGGATCAAGGTAACCAAACGTTCCTTTCACGTTACTGCTGAGACTACCGACAGGATCTTGATTACGAACCGTGAGTTTCGATAACCCGAAATCCGCAACTTTGGCTTGGACGTTCTCGTCTAGTAATATGTTTGTGGATTTGACGTCTCTGTGAATGATTGCTTCTTCTAAGCCACTGTGTAGATAATGCAAACCTCTAGCTGCTCCAATGCAAATCTCTAGCCTCTGTCTCCATGTCAACGAAGGGGAATCATCAGAGCCGTAGAGATGCTCTTTGAGAGTACCTTTCTCCATAAACTCGTAAACAAGAATCATCTCCGAGTTCTCTTCGCAGTAGCCTGTCAGAGAAACGAGATGCCTGTGGCGGATTCTTGACAAGACTTGAATCTCTGTTTGAAACTCCAACACCCCTTGTCCTGAGCCAGTCTTGCCTCTCTTGATAGCTGCTTTGCTTCCATCTTGTAGAACAGCTCTGTAGACATCGCCGAAACCGCCTTTCCCGATCAACCGCTGCTCGTCGAAACTGTTTGTAGCTCTCAAAACGTCAGCGAAGGGGATCTTCAAGCCTAACTGTAACGGCGAATCGCTGTCATCCGAAAAGAAAGGACTATTGTTGGAACTACTATCTCTGTACAGTTGCGAAGGAGACCACATAATGGCCTCAGCGTCTAACTTCTTCTTCTTGTTCTTGGATCTCCTCCTTTTCAAGAAAACCGTAAACAACAAACTCAAGACAAGAACCAACGCAGCAGCAACACAACAGGGAATGATAATGTAAACCCAAGAGCTACTTTTATCTGAAGAATCAGAATTTGTCAGAAACTCCATCACCTCAAGACCATTCAAGAAACCAGCATTCTTGTCAAGATCCTTAGCACCAATGCTAACATTCAAGAGACCAGAACCATCAGTGACATTCACGACATCGATGTAAAACGGAGTCAACAAGCCAATAGGCTTCACATGTACTCTCCATTGTCCGTTTACATAGAGATAGAAACCATCAGAGTTTTGTGACGTGTTGCTCAAGACATCGCAGAAGTGAAACCTAATGAAGTGTGTATAGTAACTTTTAACCTTCAACGACCAAGTAACATTCATCGAGGTACGATTCTTCATCGTTTTCGCAGTCTGGTAGACGAAATAAGGAGCAGTGAATGCAGTCGCTGTCGCTGACTTGTAGTTAAGCATTTGTGTTGATTGAATGTTTCTTGCAGAATCTTTCTTGTAGAGGAAGTTATCGTCTTGCGACCAAGATCGTCCCAATGTATCGTTTTCCGGCGTGATTTTGGCTCCTCCGACGTTTAATCTGTAAACCGTATGAAGATGATTGACGTCGGAGTCTGAAGACGGGATCGTGAGGTCGTTAGGAGCAGAGAAGACTTCGATGGCGTTGATGAAAGCTACAGAAGAAGGATCGGGGACGAATCGGAGTTTGAGTTCCGGCGAGTCGATCATCAGAAGAAACTCTTCGACTCGTGGAGTCTCGTTGAAGTTCTGAAGCGTGAAGCTTTTGAAGTAATGGTTGTTAGAAGGAGAAGAAGCACCAGAGAGAGTGAAACGAGCAGTTAAAAGCTCTGTTTTTGAAGAGACGGCGGAGAAATGGAGACGGACGAAGTGTGGACCAAAGGAGTCGATTTGGAACTTGTAGGAAGAATGGCTTGTGAAGATCCTGGCCGTTTGATAGATCTCCGGGGAAGTGGACGGTTCAGAATTGTTGGCGGTGTCTGTTGCTTTGTTGTCGAAGGAAAAGGAGTCGTCATCACCGGAGGACATATCTCCGATGAAAGTTCGACCACCGTAAGTGACGTTGGAATCTGTCCCACAGTTGACGTAGAACTTCTCGGGACGAGTGTATGTAGAAGAAGAAGAAAGAGTGAGACGAGGAAGAAGAAGAAGAAGAATCACTAGCATTGTCACAAAGAGAGAAACAGAGTGCTGGAAACAGAGTTTCTCCATATTCTTTCGAGAGAGAGAGAGTGAATAGTGAAAAGTCTTAAGTATTTGAGATTAATGGATGGAGTAACATATTTCGTAGAGTATTTTGAGTATTAATGATAATTACTTTGTGTATCAATTGTAATTACTTGTAACTTCTTAGTATCTCATCTTTTTAGGAAACTATATGTTGAATTGTCTCCATAGTATCTCCTCTATTATGGAATATACAAAAATGCTTTGATCATCAAAACCAAAGAGACAATATGTTTCAAGAATAGAGACATATTGTCTCTTTGGTTTTGATAAAGACATAGATGCACAGATTAATCAAACCGGCATAAGAAAACCAAACCGAAAATACTTGGCGTGAATGTGATCGACCAAGACTTGACTCTTTCTTCCTCTTTTCTAGGACCAAGTAACTCACGATGCTCATGTTTCTTTTCATGCAATTCGCTTCCATGTTTGTAGGAACTACAGTTTAGTTCAACTTTTCCCATTTCCCCTGTTTTGTAGGAATCCTCATTGTGCTTTCCATCGATGTTTTTTTCTTTCTTTCTATATAAATGAAAACGACAAACAAAGAAACGTAGTCAAAACTACAACTACCTATTGAAAAACAAAACCTATCAATATCATCATCTTCTTGTGTTTTGTCTCAATGTCTCAATTCTGTCGTTTAAGAATCTTTAGCAAATGGCTAACACGAAACGTGAGCACAATAACAACTACACGCTTTGGAAGTCTTCAGCAACGTATAGCCCAAGAAAAAGATTTGTCAAAACTCCTTACGGTCATAGTCTCTGATCTTGAAACAACCGGCTTGCCTACGGTAAAGCAGCGAGTCGTCGAAATCGCAGCTAAGGACCAAGCTGGTGGTGAAAACAGCACGTTTCAATCTCTTATCAACCCTGGTTTTTCTATCTCAAAAAGACGTATCCATGGGATTAGAAATGATATGGTTTATCGAAAAGATGTTCCTAGGTAACACATTCATATACATAAAGGACTGTTTTGAAGCTTGCGTGGCTTCCAAGGTATTAAACCTAATGGTGTTTTTTTGTGTGTTATTCTAGGATGGAAGAGATGATACCGGAGTTTTTGGGGTATCTTGAGAGCCGAAAGAAGCCTGGAGGTTATGTGATGCTTGTTGCACACAATGGCAAAACATTTGATTTCAAGTTTCTGATCAATGAGTTTAGTCGTTGCTCTTTTGAATTTCCTCATGATTTGCTGTTACTTGATACTCTCCCACTTGCTAGAGAGTATATCAAGTCTCTAGGTAAAGAAGAAATACTATAATCCCTCATGATTCTATCGATACAAGTTCTGATAAGTTTTTGATCAATGTGTTCTTCTTCTCTTTCCTAGAGTCAGATGTTAAGCCAAAAGCGTCACTATCAGCTTTAGGGGATTACTACAATTTTTTAAGGGAAGGTGAAGCACACAGAGCCTTACCAGATGTCTTACTGTTATCTAAGGTGTTCCCGAGACTCACCACTGGTCTCAATCTTTCACTCGCTGATCTTGTTCTCCGCTCTCACACCGCATCCGACCTTATTGCTGCCATGGCAAAGAACAAGAAGAAGACTCAAACAAAGTTTTTAGAGCTTTAATTGATCTCTCGTAGCTTTTATGTAGATGTTGATCTCTAGGGAGATTCTATTGTTCTGCTCTACATAGTGTATGTAACTCTCTGCAAAAAGATTATGTACTTATTTAGATTCATGTTCCTCGTTCATTATGAATGATAAATTTTCCTCTGATCTACGTTTGTAGACCTTTTTGCACATACTTTTCGAACGTGATCAGTTTTTTTGTGAAACATGTCATATATATTTGACCTGAAATTCTTCAAGAATCATTAAGATACTTAAAAAGAATGTCAGGGCCAGCTGATGATAAACTTCTCCAAGTCTTCGATGACGTTTGGAAAATTTCTGGCCCACATTTGTTTTAGAAACATGATTATGTTTTAAATTAGTACAAAAGAGATGGTATGTTTTAGATTAGTACATTGTACATTTTGCAATCATAATAACATGGCTCCACATTTAAGGCACCACGATATGTTTTAAATTAAATTATTACGGAATTAGTACCAACTTCTTATTATAATTTGAGTCCACATCCGTTCATGTCCAATCTAGATAAATAAATTAAACCAGAAAAATAAAATGTTATAGATTGAAGTGACACTAATTTGCAATTGACGAGTGATGGCCTCTTAGAGATCGAAAGCAAATTATGGAGTAATGTCATTAGTATACAAAGACTGATCACCTAACATTTAGCTGCCTAATTACATCTTTAATTGGTCCCGTCATGAAGTCCTTTCTAAACAAACAAGGCGTAAGCTTGTTAATGGAGTGATTAGCAAATGTTATGCTTTAGGACAAATTAATCAAGGTAATGTTAGTTAAGGGTTAAAGCTTCCATAACAAGAAGAGCCAATATAAGTGGAACAAAACTAAGATATAAGAGCCAAGATAGTTTCTTTCTCCTACTCTTCCTCCTCTAAAAAAAGAATCATTGAAACTATACATATTGAAATGGTCAATTCCTTTTTCCTTGTTTTTTCTTCTGATAATGGTGAATTTAAGTAGCTGTTGTTAAAACGAGACCTTGGAAAAGTGTTAACATTAAACTTACGTAAAATAACAAGAACATTAACCACAGTAATCGTGTGACCTAACAATGTCCAAACACTCATTAGGTCACAATAAGAGACATTATCCACCAAATAATAACCAATTCAAGTTTATAAGAGACATAAATTTTGAACTCGAGATAACAATAATAACATCACATTTTAGAATTTGTGTGATACTAATTATGTGACAACTACTATTTTGTTGTTGGATTCATTTAATTATATCAAAATGATAAACTTCTATTCAACAAGCTAAATTATTAGTTTAGAGTCAATTTCAATTTTAAAAGAAACCAACCTCTTAACTCTTTAAGATGGAGATGGTAAGGTAAACAACAAAAACAAAAGTACATGTTAAAGTTGATTAGATTGCACAGTTAACTCAATTGATTATTCATTAATCATAAAGCAATCCTACTAGTGATTTAATTACTGATCACTCTTTCAACAAAACAACAAAAAAAGAACTAATAAACCATCAGCTTATATTTTTAAATATTAGAGTTCCAAGGTCCATGAAATTCATAAACATGTTTACTTACAAATTAAATTTATGTTTTTTAATATTTATATTAGCGATTATATAAATCTCGTACGATCCAACGTTCATTAAGCGTACGTGGCCCATTTCGATCAGATCCTACCCGACACATCCTCTCTCTCTCTCTCTCTCTCTCTCTCTCTCTCACTCTACAGTCTCTCTCTCTCTACAGTTGTTTTCGAGCAATCTTAACTTTGCCAAACAGTCCTTTTTCGTCCTTAACCTTTTTCATTTGTCAATACCTCTCTATCTCTTTTGTCCTCTCTTCAATCTCTTTCCTTGTCTTCTCTGTTTTTAATCTCCATTGTTGTTGTTTCCTCGAGGCGATCGGAGAATGTGATGCGAGTTAGATTCTTGCTCAATAAGGTGAGGAAATTTTTGTTTTTTCTGTTGGATGCTTTAGGATTTGTTTTGTATTTTTCCTTTTTCAATTGGGTTTCTCCAAATCTTCTCAATATGGTTAAAAAAAAACTTAGACTTTATTGATCTTTGTCATGGGCTTCTCTTAAAGTCTCCACCTTTATGAACCGTTTTGTGTTTTAGTGTATAATAATGCATGTAGATGCCATTGATGGAGCTAAGCTCAAGCTTTTCTCTTTATGCATTTAGCGGAAATTGTTTCTAATTTGGGATTTTTGTTACATTCTTCACTCTTAATCTGGATTTGAGTCGCATTCACTTGTAAATGTGGGTCCTTTTAACAAATGTGGGATCAGAGAAATCAAACAAAAACAAAGCAAAATATCTGAATTTGTTTTCCTTTTGATAAGCAAATGAGGTTTTAAAAGTCTTTCTGTGTTGGTTTCTATGTTTTTAGGATATTGTTCAAAGATTCAAGAGTAGTTGTGTGGGTAATAAATGGACCATAAAGCATGGCCTTGGAAGAAGAAATCAATGGAGAAGACAGTTGTGGAAAGCAATGGCATTTCCTCGAATGGAGAGGTAAGTGGATATTAATGAGAACATTGTGTTTGATGATGTTAGGTGGGAAAATGGATGTTCTTTTGCTCATTTATGTATATTCCATAGATGTTTCTATGTTTTAGTACATAGTACCAGGATGTGAGCTTGATTGTTCTTAACAATAGATTGAGAAGCTTGTTGCTGACAAGATAGAGCTGGAAACTCGCCTCAAGAGTCTAAACGATAAGCTTACTTCTGTGGAGGCAGAGAGCAATAAGCATAAGACTGAGGCACAAGAAGCAATTGTTGGTAACTTTACTGAATCTTGACTTTTGTATCTTCTTTCATGGTGTCTCTACTATTAGCTTCCTGTTCCATTTTGGATTCTGTGTTAACAGGTTGGGAGAAGACAAAAGCTGAATCAGCATCTCTCAAGAAGAAACTAGAAGAAGCTTTGAATGAGAAACACAGGAGCGACGAGAGGTCGTCTCACACGGATGCTGGTCTAAAAGAATGTATGCAGCAGCTTCGTTTTGTTAGAGAGGAGCAGGAGCAAAGGATGCATGACGCTCTGTCAAAAGCATCACAGGACTACGAACGGAGATTGACTGAATTGGCAGATACCGGGAAGAGGCTTGCAGAAGCAGAAGGCGAGAACACTCAGCTCTCAAAGGCTTTGTTAGCTAAGAGCAAAACCGTTGAAGATTTAAACAGAGAGAGGGACCGGATTGAGGCTGATTTCAAATCTCTGGTGAGTAGTTTAGAGTCAAAGGAGAAAGAAACCGTTTCGCTGAGATACGAAGTCAGAGTGTTGGAGAAAGAGCTTGAGCTTCGGAATGAAGAGAGAGAGTTTAGTCGTAGAACTGCTGAAGCATCTCATAAGCTTCACTTATACAATGTGAAGAAAGTTGCAAAGCTGGAAGAAGAGTGTCAACGGTTACGTATACTTGTGAGGAAACGGTTACCTGGACCTGCTGCTATGTCGAAAATGAGGAATGAAGTAGAGATGTTGGGAAGGAGGAGAGTCAATGGAAGCACGGCGAGTCCAATGATTGATTCCGAGAAGATCAGTAACCTCTCTGAGCAAATATGTTTGTTGGAAGAAGAGAACAAGACTCTGAGAGATGCATTGAGCAAGAAAGTCAGTGAGCTTCAGTTCTCAAGAAACATGTATTCTCGAACAGCGTCTAGGCTACTAGAATTCGAGTCTCATCACCTTGAGCCAAGCAGGAGCAGCAATGTGTCGCATGAAGTCTCTCTTGCATCACTATCAGAGTTTGACAACGATGAGAAAGCCAGCTGCTCTGATTCTTGGGCGTCTGCTTTGCTTTCAGAGCTGGAGAATTTCAAGAACAAGAAGCAATCTGGCTCGAGTTTGGTCAGAACTCCTAAAGCTTCAGAGATGAAACTAATGGATGATTTTGCTGAGATGGAGAAGCTTGCAATGGTCGATAACAACCGACCTGGAAGCTCTCCTATGTGTTCTTCTGATTCCATTTCAGCTTCTGGTCCTGTAGAGAACGAATCTAACGACAATTCATCAAAACAGACCGATGCTCTCATTAACGATGATATCAGCAAATCTATTCGCAGAATCGTTGAAGTTATCGAAGGAGTGAGCTTAAAGGAGAAGAAGAATGTGTCAAATGAGATAGACTCAGAGAAGCTTTCAGGCTACACTGCTCGTGTCTTGCAATGGAAAACCTCAGAGCTAAGTAGTGTGTTGCAGCGGTTTCTTCAGACTTGTTACGATCTGTTGGAGAGAAAAGCAGACGTGAAGAAGTTTGCAGAAGAGTTGAGCTCTGTGTTGGAATGGATGGTGAACCACTGCTTCTCCCTACAAGATGTTTCAAGCATGAGAGAAGAGATTAAGAGAGACTTCGAGTGGGATGAGTCACCGAATGGAAGCGAAATCGATATCGGAACACTTGGCCAGGTCTCAGAAGCAGATAAGCTTAAGACTGAAGATGTTGTTACCTCTTTGGTTAGCATTGAAGACAAATTGGTTAAAGAAGAAGCAAAGAACAAGACAGCAAGGTAAATGCAAATGCTTGAAGAGTTCATTATCAGCAAAATCATACATTTCTTTTTATCTGTGATGCATCCAAAGTTTTTCTTTTTGCAGTGATTCAGCGAACGAGCATGACAAGCAAAACATGCGAACTGTAAGTTATTAGCAGCACAAGATCAGTTTCTTACAATGAGAGTTGCTCTCCCAACAAATTTTTCTTGTGTGTTTTGATGATTCAGGAATTGGAGATCACTGCTGCTTCAGAAAAGTTAGCTGAATGTCAAGAAACGATTCTACACTTGGGAAAGCAGCTCAAGGCATTGACAACTAACTCAAAGGAAACACCTTTACAACCTCCACAAGAGACAAAAAAACCAGAGAAGAGATTCACAACTCAGAGATCATCACTTTTGGATCAGATGAAGGCTGAAGATGAAGACACTGGAGGAGAATCCAAAGATCAGAAACTGCAAGGAGGAGATAAAACCGGAAAAGGAGGCGGTTCTGTTTACAATGAAACCATTGAGGCATTGGAACATATTCTTCTCTCAGACAAAAAGGGCAAAGGCTCTGGCGCAAAGTGCTTCTCCATTGTTCCTCAGAAAAAGAGCGGTGGAGCTAAGAGCCTCTGGAGAAAACTACTGGGGAAGAAAAAGAAAAGTAAGAGCAAGAATCTCCCTAATCCATTTGCCATCTAAGAAGATGGTGTCATCTAGACTACAATAATCTAATACCTTAATATAATGTTGTTCTTCTTCTTCTTTTTTTTTAATGTTTCTGTACTATGCAAATTAAACACTCATTTTTCGTATAATTTTTTGGCAGTATATATATAAATCTACACCCAGTGAGATGATCTTTCTGTTTCATTTCACTTCCAGTAAAAAAAAGATACAATCATCATCAATCAGTAAAATTACTAAAGCAAAAGTAACGTACTTAGCAATTGAAACATCTGCTGATTTATTATTGAAAGGACATGGCCAAGATAAATTAAGAAAAACTCAACTAAAAACGAATAAGCTAGGTTGCATGTAGCTAATGTAGTCACCTCTTTTTTTTTTTTTCTCTCAGTGGAATTGAATGAAGCTTGGAACATAACTATACACACGTCCTCCAAAATCTGTGCGTTGGCTATAATTCTCCCCAACAACGTAAACGCGTGTGGATAGCTCAATATTGTACCTGGGCTGGTGGTCCAATCTCTGATAACAAATGAGGACGGCTTTCTTCTCCTCGTCGACCACAGAATAACTCAAAAGCGTGCTACGAATAGCTTCAGGGTAGTCCACTGTAAAGATCTTCATCCACGACAGCGCTTTGGTCTCATCATCATCAATCTTATCTGTTACCCATATCTCACAATTCAACGTCGGTGGGCGTTGTAGTAACATGGAAAGTTTCTCTTCTCTAACAACGGACAGAGCAATTTTTTCTAGGAGAGGAATCTGAAACGCATCAAGAGACAGACGTTCAAATGTTTCTCTTGTATAATCAAAACTGACCAAGAACACGTGTTCCTCTGAAGTATCGAACCAGTAAGTCTTCCCCTTCAGAGACACACTCCTGAAGTCTAACTTGCAGCCAGGAGGAGCGTCAATCGTCCTCCATGAATTAGAGCTAACATCACATATTTCGAATCCTAGGAGGTCATGACAGAGTCTTCGCAATACTTTGTAGCTATTTTTGCCTGATCCAAGAGTATAGGTGCCTGTCGTAGCCTTACCATATCTTGGTTGGATCCACTTGGTCTGACCAGTACAAGGATTCCAAACAACGATCCGTCTAGTGTCGTCGTCTATGATAGTGCATAATAACAAGCCGTCGCAGGTAGAGGCTTGATGTATATTGATTTGAGAATCATCTAGGTCAACCTTACCTATTACCTCTGTAGATGGATGTCCATGGAGATTGACGCTTACCGAACAAAGCCTAAACTCCTTCAAGTCGAGAATCAGAAACTGCTTTGCTGCTTTATCCAAGAAATTTCTTCTGAATCTGCTATCGTTGAACAAACGGTTCCATCCTTTGCAAGTAGAACGTAAAAGTTTAACATACGTGACTGGAACGCGACAGAGTATCTCTTCTAACAAATCTCCCGCAAGGTCTGATATCATCATTGCGATTTGATTTTCTGTCAAGAGAGAAGGTGCTGCTGCCTTTGATTATATATAATCTATTTCTAGGGTTTGACAAATCCAGAGGCCCATATACTCTTTTTTTATAAAAAAAATTGTACCCAAAACTTCAATGCAGGCACCAAAAGTAAAACTCATTCGATTCCGTGTCATACAAGAGACTTTGTCAATCTCTGTACAGAACAAACTCGGCAATGTCGTTGAGCCCAGCTTCTTTGTAGCATTGAGCTACTCGTTCCAGTGACTCGTCCCATGTCCCTTCAAGCGACGCTAGATTCAGCAAGTATCCAGCTTCGTCGAATGCTGCCTGTCAAATACAAAGTTTTGTTTCAATCCAAAAGCATATGACGTGAGTACTATCTCTGTATCTGAATATGAATATGAATACAAGCAAAGAACAAACCTGGGCCCTAGGCTTTCCTCTGTCTATATCCCGTTTTCGTGCTTCTTCTGTAACTTTCTCTTTATACTGAGCAATTTTTTCTTCTCCCCACTCTGCTATCCGAGCAATTTCCTGTGCAACCATTTCATATGTTCAACACTTTTTTTTCCATTCTCTTTTCAGTTACCGAAATGGTTTAACGATATTGAAGGAATTGTACCTCATATTTGCATCCTAAGGTCCACCACGAAGATTTCAGTGCACCTCTAGCTGCGTCTTTCGCTTCTAAGCTACGCCCAAGTCTACATAACCATACAAGTCTTAGTTTTTTACCATAAGCATCTATACGCATATACATTAACAAGAAAGAAAGAGGGGTTGATGAGGGAGGATCATACGAACTTCAGCAAAACCTTTGCGTTGAAAGCAAAAGGCCGGGCAAATCCAGGAAAGTTTCCTCTCTTTGTATAAAACTCGGCAGCCACCAAAGCTGAAACCTTGTATTAGCACGAGAAGGTAGTTAAAAAAAGGAGAAAACAAGTCTAGTCGACTACAATATGATAGATGTTGTTCACTATAGTCTTACATGATCTCCATTCTCAATATGTCGAATAACTTTGCGTTCTAGAGAATCCGGAAACAGCCCAACCTGAAACAACAAAGCTAATCATCATCATCTTGACATCCACAAGTCCAAAACGAGTCTTCTGAATATTTAACAGGTTCAATATATGTACCTTTCTTAAGAGATAGACATCTAAATCCTTCAGTCCAGACCTCTCAAAGTCACCTTTACCGTAAAGTCTCTTCCCAGCTTCACCTGCAGCATCAAAGATCTCTTGACTGGATTCTCCGCTTTTGGAAACATCTTCTTCCAGCAATATTCTGTGTATGAACTGATCAACCTGATTGTTGGCCAATGAAGTCAGATATGAGAGTGAACAGCACAGAAAAATGAAACTTAAATCAACACAAATCTTATTTACATTACTGGCTAAAAACCAAACTCCATGTTTCTGAACTTCCACCACAGGCATCTCCATACTGCAAACACCAAGTAACAACAATAAGATATAAAAGAAGAAGCATGATAATATAACAATTGAAAAGAGCCTCTAACCTAGGAGGAGCTGTTGGCCACCGTAGTAGAGCAATTGAAGAACCTGCAAAATGAAAGATAATCACACACAAAATCTCACAGCTCAATCATAGAAGGACTTATGAATGTGTTTTCAGTATTCATACCTGGGCTGATTCTCACCAATGGAATAGTGAGAGGCACTAAACCTTGCTTGGCACCAGGAGAAACTACGGATTTGCCTGATACAATGTAATCATTCCTCAAATTACTTCGATTATAGCAGCCGCCAAAACATGATTAACCAAACCAAGTCAATGTGAGATTGAATCTACCTTTAGCTGTGAATATGCTCAGCAGCTGATTCAGATGCTTAGGAGGCTGAGATTTTGCAATTTCCTTGATGAAACGATCATGTTCTGCAAAACGAAAATCACAACACAATCAATCGTTGATCTTCGATTCATTGGTGTTTTAGTCTAAATTCATCTCCTTAAGAGTCAAATATCACAAGCCACATTTCCAGAAGTTCGGAGCCACTTCAGAGGTAGAGCGTATAGAAATGGCGAAAATGTGAATCATAAAGAGAGGAAAGTACAATCACCAGAGAATGGAGAAGACGACGAAGAAGAAGAGCAAAAGGATCTGGCGGAGAAGTTTCTGCCAACACGAAGAATCAGTTCGCGTCTCCGTCCGTTAACCACCGCGCCGCAATGCATCTTTTCAAGTTTTCCGATCTCCGTATTGTTTGCTCTTCCGATGTGATTACAGAGAAAACTTCGAAAAGCTGAGATAAAGCCCAGAAATTAAGATTTTAAGGGCCCATTAAATCTGAGCCCAGTAACGTTAAATCAGGTTTGTTTCTTTCTCGTTTAACCGTCGCCGGAGAAATTAACCGGAGAGTCACTTTCCCGATATACAGTGGATATTTCAAATCGATCTGCCACGTCGCTATTTTCCCACCAACTTTATTTTATTTTTAATCTGGAGAAAAATGTGTAATTTCACGCTTCCCAATTCGTAACAACAACTGTTTAATGTTCTTTTTAAAGTCTATGGAAAAATGTTCAATCGGAAAATCTCTAAATTGAAGAAGATAAGAAAAATACCAAAAACGAAATTGAAGATAAAATTCTAGGGTTTAAATCACTTCCTCTCCTCCGACATTTCCGATTTTCGCGACCCGAACCCGCATTTTCCTCGGGTCCGATCTGGCTCCTTGACAATGGCGTCGGGAGCTTCGCCTTCTACTTCGGCGACCAGATCGGAGCCGCACAACGACTCCACGGTGCGTCTTCTCACTCTCACTCTCGAATTTCGTAAAAATAGAAACTTTTTTCCTTTGTGGTATTGAAGCATTGACTCTTCTTCGCTTCTGATTGACTGAAGAACGAAATCTAAATAGCTTGTTTTTTGCTTTTACTCTCTTCTTCAATTTCGATCTAGAAATTGCTGCATTGTGAGCTAAAACTTTGCTGAGAAAACCATTTGATAGTTACGATTCTAATCAATCAGATTTCTCTGTTACCTTTGTAGACATCGCAGCCGGAGGAGAGAGCTCCAGCTTCTAAGGAAGTATTAACAGTAGTAGATTCGCTTAAGAAGAAACTTGCAGCTGATCGATGTATATCAATAAAGGTCAAATATTTGTTACTGTTTTCAATTTTTTTTTATTTGTATGTTTTTGTGTGTTTTTCTGTATCTGATTGTAAAATTTTGATTTTCACCAGAAAAGGATTGATGAAAACAAGAAAAAATTGAGTGGCATTACTCAAAGCTTGATGAGGTCGTCATTGGATAGAGGAGGAGGTAGCGATTTCTTAGTTAAGAGGCAAAGAGACTCGCTCGGTATGAAAAGTGGAATCGATGGGAATGATGCAGATAAGAATAGCCACAGCTTCTTAGAAGATGGACATGCATTGGCTCAAGGATCTGGTGTCCCTGTCAAAATTTCCTTAAGGCCAATCAAGTTACCTGATATCAAACGCTTGTCACCTTATACCACATGGGTTTTTCTGGATAGGTAATGTCAACAAGAGTATTTGGAAGTATTTTACCTGAAACGCATGGTCTTGCGGTGTATCTCACTGTTTAAAATACTCTTGAAATGGATGCAGGAATCAGAGAATGACTGAAGACCAATCTGTAGTTGGTCGAAGGAGAATTTATTATGATCAAACTGGCGGGGAAGCGCTCATTTGTAGTGATAGTGAAGAGGAGGCGATTGATGAGGAAGATGAAAAAAGAGAGTTTGTAGAGCCTGAAGATTTTATTATTCGGTTGGTATAATTAAAATGGCATTGGTCTAGTGTACTTGCATTTGGTCACTTAGTGCTATATTCATTGTTGTGCTTTATTTTCTTCAGCATGACCCTTGAGCAACTAGGAGTTTCAGACTCTGTCTTGGAGGATCTAGCAAATTTCTTGTCCAGAAGTTCTAGTGAAATCAAGGTATTTTAGCAATTTTTTTCTCTGTCTAATGCTGGTGTGAATTTAAATTGTGTAGGATTTGACAACAGAGTGTGAGTGATGCATCCTTTTAAGGAAAATCCAATTAGTTTTGTTCCAGCCCTTTCCCAATTGGCATTTTGCAGAGATATGAACACCGAACATCATCTTAATACAGGCAAGATATGGAGTGCTTATGAAGGAAAAAGAAGTATCCGAGAGTGGCGATAATCAAGCAGAGAGCTCTCTTCAAAACAAAGATATGGAAGGAGCATTAGATTCATTTGACAACCTGTTCTGCCGTAGATGCCTTGTTAGTCCATTTTCTTTCTTTGGCTAAATTCTTGAAGGGTCATTACTTGATGTTCTAGCAAGAATTGACTCTTATTCACTTTGTTATGCGTCTATGCAGGTATTTGATTGCCGGCTGCATGGATGCTCACAAGATCTTATATTTCCTGTGAGTTTGTCTACCAACTTATTTGATTGCCGGCTGTAGCAACTTCTTTGTTACTTGCTTATATTTTGTGGATTTTTAGGCTGAGAAACCAGCTCCATGGACTCCTCCTGTAGATGAAAATCTAACCTGTGGCGCAAACTGCTATAAAACGGTAAATATTTGTTGTTCAACGTAGCTAAGCTCAACTCCTGAGAAGACTTGACTTGACGAAAATAACTGTTTTCATTCTATCAGCTTCTCAAGTCTGAGAGAATTCCGGGATATGGAACCGTTGAAGATAAAACTGGCACTTCATCAGATGGTGTAGGTACTAAGACCACATCCAAGAAGTACTCCAAGAAAGTTAATGGGAGAAAACCAAAGACATTCCCAAGTGAAAGTGCATCGTCTAATGAAAAGTGCACGGAAGAAACAAGTGACTCAGAGAACGGAGTTCAGCAGGAAGATACCAATTCAGATAAAGTTTCATCATCACCAAAGGTGAAAGGTAGTGGGAAACGCGGAGGTCGTAAGAGGAACAACAACCGAGTCACTGAGCGAGTTCCTCGTAGGACTCAAAAGAGGCAAAAGAAGACGGAAGCCTCGGATAGTGATTCCATTGCCAGTGGAAGTCGTTCACAAAGCGATGCAAAACATAAAGAAAATGAAGATGCTACTTCCTCTTCTCAGAAGCATGTTAAATCTGGGAAGTCGAGAAAGAACGACACTCCTGTGGAAGGCTCCAAGAATTCTGTGAAGGATGACGATCCCGTTTGTCAGTCAATTGAGGTTGCTTCTGAGCTTGATGCACCTTGTAGTGATGAAAGCTTAAGAAAAGAAGAGTTTGTGGGTGACAATGTATGTCGAGGAGGATTGGCTGGAAGTAAATCATGGAGACCACTTGAGAAAAGCCTTTTTCAAAAAGGTGTTGAGATTTTTGGAATGAATAGGTGAGTAAATAGATGCATTCAGCAACTGTTAAACCATCATTCCGCGATTAGGTTTCTCAATCTGTGGGATATAGTCATATCAATTTTTTTGTTTCTTTGCAGCTGCATGATTTCTAGAAACCTCCTGAGTGGTTTCAAGTCATGTTGGGAGGTCTTCCAATACATGACTTGCTCGGAAAATAAAGCTTCCTTTTTTGGAGGTGATGCATTGAATCCAGATGGCTCTTCCAAGTTCGATATCAATGGAAACATGGTATAATTCTATTTCCTTTCTTACCTACATTCATAATAAAATGGATTTATGTCTCTTTTGGAACTAATGCTTTATTTGTTGGACCAATCAGACTAATAACCAAGTGAGAAGAAGGTCAAGATTCCTTCGTAGAAGAGGCAAAGTGCGACGCTTGAAGTATACTTGGAAGTCTGCTGCATATCACTCAATTAGGAAAAGAAGTAGTGACAAGAAAGACCAGCCATGCCGTCAGTTTAATCCATGCAACTGCAAAACTGCTTGCGGGAAAGAATGTACTTGTTTGCTAAGCGGGACATGCTGCGAGAAGTACTGCGGGTAATGTGATTCAAGATTTATCCACATTTGTATTTCTTGGCTTTGAATCTCGTTACCAACACAATTTGTTTTCTTTTGTAGTTGCCCGAAGAGCTGCAAGAATAGGTTTAGAGGTTGTCATTGTGCCAAAAGCCAGTGTCGAAGCCGTCAATGTCCATGCTTTGCTGCAGATCGGGAATGTGATCCAGATGTTTGTAGGAACTGCTGGGTCATGTAAGTCTCTTATTGGCGATGCAAATGTTTACTCTTTGGTCGCTTAGCAGAGGATCCAGAACACATTGCACTAATACTGTGTTTGAATGAATATTGAATATGCAGTGGTGGGGATGGTACGCTTGGAGTTCCTAACCAAAGAGGCGATAACTATGAGTGCAGGAATATGAAATTACTCCTGAAACAACAACAAAGGGTGAATACACTTAGCTTATTTAACTACAAAGTGATCTGCAATAGCATAACGAGGAGGAATTTGCTAAGTTTGCTTCTTCTATTTTTTTTTTTGTAATTTCAGGTTTTACTTGGAAGATCTGATGTTTCTGGTTGGGGAGCTTTCTTAAAGGTAAAGTAGATGCAAGATTTGTTAAATAGACTTTCCAGTCCTTCACAGATGAAACTATGTTTGGAGTTTGGACTTACCTTAAGAACAAATGTTGTTGCTTCTTACAGAACAGTGTAAGCAAGCATGAATACCTTGGAGAATACACAGGAGAGCTGATCTCACATAAAGAAGCAGATAAACGCGGGAAGATATATGATCGCGAGAACTCATCTTTTCTCTTCAATCTAAACGATCAGGCACGTCTCATCTCAAATACGTTTCCACTCTCTAGGTACTTGTTTTAGATATACCTTTCTAAGTAACTTTTTGGATTTTGGTGCAGTTTGTGCTAGATGCTTACAGGAAAGGAGACAAACTGAAATTCGCTAACCATTCACCTGAACCTAACTGTTACGCAAAGGTAAATTGCGAAAAACGCTAGTTAAAAGACAAGGGTTTTTAGCATAATTGGCACAATCTTGATGGAGACTCTACTCTGTATCTGTTTAAGGTCATTATGGTTGCTGGAGATCACAGAGTTGGGATATTTGCAAAAGAGAGGATAATGGCTGGAGAAGAACTGTTTTATGATTACCGGTATGAGCCAGATCGAGCTCCGGCTTGGGCTAGAAAACCGGAGGCTTCAGGTTCTAAGAAGGATGAGAATGCTACACCTTCAGTTGGTAGACCTAAGAAGCTTGCTTAGTTGCAGCAGCCAACACTTGAGTCCACAACACACAAAAGACAAACCAATTTTTGGATTAGTCCCTTTTTTT